ACGCCTCCCGTGTGTCGAGCCCTTCACACAAGCAGCGGAGCACGCTCCTCCCGCAGCAGGCAGTGTGGTCGGTCGGCATGCGACCGGAGGACGCTCCGTCACGTAAATATGTGAACAGTTCGGTGTTCATTTTCACACACCTGAACCAGGTCCGGATAAGTTATGTTTTTTTCTCCCTCTTCATTTGCGCTCTCAGCCACGCTTCCTCTGTTTTGACTCCARCYGGTTACATCATCAAAAACAATTGCGCGTTTGGCCGGTAGACTACAGATCTCTATCATAGGATATATTTATATCGTTTCTACCGTATATCGTTTATATCACGCATTCCTAGTGGGAGGCATTCAGTAAGTTTTAATATTTGAGATAAACCTACCTACACTTGTTAACATTTTAACACCTCTGAAAAGATTGATTTTAAACATTTTAATGATAACTAAGGTCTTATTTTTAGATGGTCTTTTAAGGTCGTATTCACACCTGACACATTTACTCCATTTTAAACGAACCAGAGTTTGTTTCCAGCGTTGGTCCRGACCTTTTGTGCAGGTGTGAATACACTCATGAACTCTGGTGCGGATCAAACAACCGGTCCGAGACCTGCTTTTTGAGGTGGTCTCGGTCCACTTTTAAACAAACTCTGGTGCGGTTCACTTCAGTTTACTTCTGGTGTGAGTAAAGATCGGACTCAAATCGAACCAACTACATTAAACATGCGCCTTTTTGGACTTCACAGGCCACCGTTGCTGAGCTAAATAAACTGAAATCATACCTGTTTCATTGTCTCCTGTTAGCAGCTCTGCTGGCAGCATTTAGTGGGTCAGAACATGCAGAGCACCTGCTTTGGGTTGCGGGACACATTTACTGACACCGCTTCAAAATTAGAATTTCATCACGAAACCACCATTAAATTGATTAAATTAGCTGCTTCTGACATTTTAAATGCTATTGCAGTTGTACTATCAGCATAAATGTGCGCATCAGAACCGCAACACGCAGGACTTCCTAGTTTTCTTCTGGGTCTGTGCTCTCAGTCCCGCCTCCGTCCTTTCTGTCCAGTGGGATCAATGATCGTCAGCCTCATGGCTTTGTTTACAAGTTAAAGT